GGTCTAAGATTTTGCAGGCTTGTGTGTCCTGCCCAACTTCAACGTTTCACAAAGTTTTAGCTTAAGTGCACACCCAAGCTAAAAGAAACATCTCGCGTAAAAATTGACTTTCTCTCTCAAATCTTGAAACTTGAAGCTCGAAACTCAAATTGGATGATGTCTGTCTTTAGAACTATGTTACATCTGAAAATTTGCATGCAACAGTGCCTTGCCTAACCTCACAATGACACGAAATTTCAAGGCATATTCACACTCCAGCCGGAAATAACGGATACTCTGAGATTCGACTTTCTCCTTTCAAAAAACTTGAAACTCCAAGACGTCTTTACTTCGTGCTTTGAATTGCGTTCCGTCTAAATTTTGCAGGCTTGTGGGCCGTGTTCATCTTCAACGTCTCTGAAAGTTTCAAGTTCAATGCACATCCAACCTTAAAGAAATAGCTCCCATAAAAATCAAATTTCTTCTACTTAAATCTTGAAACTCGAGCTCAAAACTCAAAATTTGATGATGTCTGTATCTGAAAGTCTGTTCAATCAGAAAAATTTGCAAGCTATAGCGCCTTGCATAACCTCACAATGCCACGAAATTTCAAGCCCCGTTCACTCTAGAGCCTGAAATTATGGCCCTGCAAGATTTGGCCTTCCCTTCTCAAATAACTCAAAACTCTAAGACGTCTCAACTTCATGCTCTAAATTGCGTTTGATCTAAGATTTTGCAAGCTCGTGCGCACTGCCCAATTTCAAGGTCCCACAAAGTTTCAGGTTAAGTGCACACCCAAGCTTAAAGAAACAGCTCTCGTAAAAATTGACTCTCTTCTCCTCGAATTTTGAAACTCGAAACTCGAAACTCAAATTGGATGATGTCTGTCTTTGAAGCTATGTTAGATCTGAAAATTTGCATGCTACAGCGCCTTGCCTAGCCTCACAATGCTACAAAATTTCAAGCCTCATTCACACTCTAGCCCAAAATAACGAACCTTTCCAGATGTGGCATTCCACTTTCAAAATTGTCAAACCTCCAAGACGTCTCAACTTCGTGCTCCGAATTGAATTTGGTCTAAGATTTTGAAGGTCGTGCGTCCTGATCAACTTTAACGTTTCACAAAATTTCAGTTCCTGTGCACACCCAAAGTCAAAGAAACAACTTCTGTAAAAATCGACTCTCTTACACTCAAATCTTGAAACTCGAAACTCGAAACTCAAATTTGGATGCACTTTGTTTTTTGGAACTCCATTTCATTTGGAAATTGGCAAGCTACAACGCCTTGCCTAAACTCACAATGCCACAAAAATTTAAGTCCCATTTACACTCCAGCCCGAAGTTACGTCCCATGCAAGATTTGAACTTCCCACTCAAAAACTCTAACCTCCAAGATGTCTCAACTGTGTCATCCGAATTGTGTTCAGTCTGAGATTTTGCAAGCTTGTGCGCCCTGTCCAACTCTGACGTTGCACAAACTTTCAAGTCCAATGCACAACCAAACTCGAAGAAACAGCTCCTGAAAAAATCAACTGTTTTCCCCCAAATCTTGAAATTTGAAGCTCAAAACTCAAAATTGGTAGAGTTTAGTAAACTTGTGCAGTGTTCATTCTAAACTTAAATGAGAGGAAATTACTTGATGGAGCCTTTCAACTCTCTTGAAAGTATCAATAGGTTTCAATTTACTCGGTGGGATCCCATTTGAATGCCACCGTGACACATGTTCTTATAACTTGCTGATTTGCTCTATAAGTGGAGAGTGCCTGCCACTGTCGGTCCAGAGTATTTCGGCGACTACTTCGCAGGCATGTCTAAGAAAACGACGGGTACCATGAGTCTGAACCGTGATTTCATCTTTCTACTCAAAATAACCCCAAATAGTACTGGAACATCACTGACGGTGGGGTTGCAATGGGTACATGAGATCCAATAGGGTAAAATGAAACCTGTTGGAACCATCAAATGCTTTTGGTTTACCAAAATGATCAATATTTACATCATGTTGGCAAAGATATCAATAAAATTTGAAGTGAATTATTGAAATGTGATGTCATCTCAATTAGTTACTATGATTTACAATTTGGATTACGGGATTGTACATTCCATTGCAATGATTCTAGAAGCAAATCTCTAGAATATATATTATGATATATAGTATAACTATATATTCTATGATATATAGTTAGCAGATAAATGACCTCAAGGATATCATATGTTTCTTGAAACCTTTTTAGAAATTTTCATATATTATTATTCAATAAATGTTATCAAAATTTTAAGTTTTCATTCAAACAATTTTTTATACCTAATCTTCTAGATAATTTTATCAATACGATTATCAAGATTTTATAATGCTCATCATAATTTGAATCTACTCCTCAATCTCAATTATATATAATATTTTCATTTTGATTACTCTATTTCTACCGTTGGATCTATTGAACTCTCTCTTTCATTTGATATATATTTTTCTTTTATCATCTCAGTTTATATTCCGTGAGATTTATTTAAATAATTTTAACTTCATTTGTCAATTAATTCTTATGTTTGATCGCAATCTCTGTGATGGTAAACATCCATGTTTTCACATGACTGATTCCTATCATATTTAATTTCTAATCTTCGTTTATTATTCAAGTTTAAGTTGAAAGATTTAATATGTAATTCCTTTCATCAATGAAATAAAGTCGCTAAAATATCAGACCAGACTGGTGCGGGTAGTTCGACTGCGCTACTTGATATTGAGTGCGCCCCGACGGGACGAACGAAACCAATCCTGAGACCACAAGATCCAATAAACTCATCGTATTTGCCTTGAAAATATGTAACTCTTAATCCTAGTACTCGAATAGATGACGCCCCAAGACAAAAGAAATCACTGACAGAATATTAATAACTTGGATACAAATATACCGAGATTGCGGTATGTAAAGGTTTGAACAAAGTAAATCATCAAATAAAATTGACTCGACCCGGAAACTCCTTTCTTTGTGGTAGAAATACTAGGGCTATTACACTATACCAAACTTGAAACGCTATGCGTTATGTCGCACTACAAGTCTCAATAACTGCATGTGGGCCCGAGGTGCACACATGTATTCTCATTCATTTTAATCGTATCTTCTAGGACATGTCACGAAATGAAGTAGAGGCGCAGCTTTTGACACTCATCTTTTTTAAGCCACAGATATAATGCTCGTACGTATTAACATTCGACACATGGACATTCTAGAATCTCGTCAGTCCAGACTGACGTCAGAGAGAAGGCGCCATAGATTAGTCCTCTTGTTCTGAAGAGGTCCATAGGTTTTCATCTGTCCTTTCTTTTCACTTGACGTTCACACCTCGGAACTATGTTGGTGGCTTTCACCTCAAAACCGACTATCCATCAGAAAAACTGCTTTGGCTTCTTCACAAACGTTTTCTTGCTCTTGATATCATCCAGATCTTCTACTGTACGTCTACCATATATACCGGGCAACCAACTACCTGAACGAGGCAGACGCTCGTTCGTGATCTCTGGTGTAGACAACGATCTCTGTTTCAGGCGACAGCGCCCAATCCACCACTAAAACAGGAGTGATGTCAAACACACAACGAACATTCCTCAATGAAGGTGTACACCATGGACAAGTACATGAAAAAAGATGTGAAGACCTCAATTTCATCGAAATGGGAATAATTTCAATACAGTATCTAAAATATCCCAACTATCAAGATATACTGGTCTACAAAATCCATTTTTACGCCTGATCATCTAACGAGACTGCTCTCCTGAATCACAAACAAGCGTTTTGAATTACGAGACAAGCGACTCCAATTTCAATAAATCTAGTGACAGACTTGAAACAAATATACAGTCCTCTAAATTTAATCGTAGCGCATGTGATGCGTATAAAAACATGTACACCCGGTGTCAAGAGAACTAGTCACACAGTTGTGAAGCTGAATGTACTATACGAGGACGTATTTAAAGCGTTGAAGAAAAAGCACCAGACATTCGCCAGCAGCAAACGATGGAGAAAACCTCAAGGCGACCTTACATGACAGATCTTCAGTTGAAGACACCTGTTGAATGGAGTGCTGATGTACACCGTAAATCTCATGAACTTTGACCACAAAGTTCATGAGCACGAATATGAGCACACGATTCAAACTTACGAATGAGATGCATATTAATTTCCACTTTTTGGATAGGCTATTCGAGCTGAGAGAAGTCTCTCAAGGTAGGCCTCTTGGAGGTTAAGAAGCATATTTCGATAAATCATGACTTCCCTATTCCACCTTGAGAAACTGCAGCGTCAAACCACCAAAGCCCGACCTTCTTTGAAAATAATTGAAGGCATTGAAGAGTTAGCCATTCAACTAAATCTCTACCCAGCACTCTCCCTTTATCGGGCTAAATCTGGACAAACTGCGAAAAAAAATTCCTCAATCTAATTTCATGACAAGGGCGTTGCATGTGGACAGTCTAAGTTGTGGGTTGCCAGTCACGACAAGGCTTCGAACAAGAGATCTGAACGCCGCATTGTCAGCGCCAATGAAAAAACTGACTGTTGGAGTCCTTCGAACATACAAGTGCACATTTTGTTGACAGGTGGCGTTGTACAGTACAATCTCTAGGTTCGATTCAATATTCTAGAATGAAGATTCTAAGCACACAGCTCACTGCTTCGTAACAGAAAAACTGAATATCTAGATTAGCGTCATCACTTCCTCTCCAGCAGAACCTCTCTCCCAGGTGAAGTCTGGTAGTGGAAACCATTGGCAAGACAGTGTCCAGATCTTTGAAATCAGAATTAATTCCAGAACAGGATCACAAGTCAAACACGCATGCAGGAGCACGCAAATCATCGGCACACTGTGACCAGCGACCGACTAACCGATTCAACTGTTCTAGAGCCATTTCATTCGCTACGACGAGCGACGCACAGTGAGCCATCAATCCACTTATACATACAGAGGAACAAAAAGGTCGACCAGAACAATGAATTCAAGAGCAAAACACGAAATTCGAGCATGCACGGCGATTCCGACACGGACAGCGAAGACGTGGAGAGTGTAAACCTCGGGACTTTGTTGTCATTTTTAAATTACAGTAGAGCACTTATTGGCAAGACAGGAAAAAGAGGTGGCGTGACTGGGTATGCCGACTGTAAAAGAGTAAAACCTCAAAGCGACGACTCCTTGAGAGCGCATCACGATGCTATACTGTGCTGAAGGACTTGGGACGCTGGCATACCCGATCGGAAAAACCACGGACGGAAAGAATCGCAGCTCAGTACGGCTTCACTGGCTGTCTGAAGTTGACTCCCGCGTACACAGCCTTGTCACCGAGCTCCTCCTCGATGCGCAGCAACTGGTTGTACTTGGCCAAGCGCTCGGATCGGCAGGGGGCGCCAGTCTTGATCTGCCCGGTCGACAGACCCACGGCCAAATCCGCGATGAAGGTGTCCTCGGTCTCACCACTCCGGTGGCTGGTCATCACGCCCCACCCAGCGCGCTTGGACATCTTCACGGCCTCGATACTCTCAGTCACAGACCCAATTTGGTTCACCTTGAGCAGCAGAGCATTGCACGACTTGTCCTTGATGGCGTAGGCCACGCGCTTGGGGTTGGTGACGAGCAAGTCATCGCCCACGATCTGCACCGCCTCGCCGAGCGCCGCGGTGAACTTGCTGTAGTGCTCCCAGTCGTCCTGGTCAAAGGGGTCTTCAATGGAAACGATCGGGTACTCAGCCACGAAAGATTGGTACAGCTTGATGAGCTCGTCGCCTGAAATTTTGGCACTACCATCGTTGCCTTCTTCCTTGAAATTCAGATCGTAGCGCTTGTCGTCGGCCGAGTAGAACTCAGACGCAGCCACGTCCATGCCGATGACGACCTTGCCAGTGTATCCTGCCTTCTCGATGGCGACCTTGAGGAGCTCAAGACCCTCCTTGTTCTCCTGGATGTTGGGCGCGAAGCCGCCCTCATCGCCGACGTTGGTGGCGTCCTGGCCATACTTCTTCTTGATCACGGCCTTGAGGTTGTGGTAGACCTCGCTGCCCATCTGCATTGCCTCTTTGAACGACGAGGCGCCCGTTGGCAGAATCATGAACTCCTGCATGGCGAGCTTGTTGCCCGCGTGCGAGCCGCCATTGATAACGTTGAGCGCGGGCACGGGGAGCACCAGCTCCGTGTTGCCGGCGAGGTCGGCGATGTGACGGTAGAGCGGGACGCCCTTGACGGCGGCGCCGGCGCGGCACAGCGCCAGCGAGACGGCGAGGATCGAGTTGGCGCCGAGCTTCTGCTTGCACCAGCCCCACTCGTTCTGCGTGCCGTCGAGCTCCTGCACCATGAGGTTGTCGAGCGCCGTCTGCTCCGTCGGGTCCTTGCCCACGAGCGCCGGCGCAATCACGGTCTCGATGTTGCCCACGGCCTTCGACACGCCCTTGCCCATGAACTTCTTGCCTCCGTCGCGGAGCTCGAGCGCCTCGTACACTCCCGTCGACGCTCCGCTCGGCACCGCCGCCCGGTGCATCGACCCATCGCTCAGGTGCACATCGCACTCCACCGTCGGGTTCCCTCTGCTGTCATAGATGGACCGAGCCTTCACCGCCGAGATGGTGATCGCCATATCCTCGATTCGCTCTCGAGCTTTTTTTTTCCTTTCTGCGTTCCTCGCTCCTCGTCGTCTCTGCCTCTCTGCCTCTCTCTGTCTCCGGGTCTGTCTGCCAGTCTCTGCGTGTTGTCCCCGAGCAAGCTGCTCTCCTCTGCTGAATGGATGATGGGCTGCGGTGTGAGGTCCGGTCCGCCGATGAGATGAGAAACTCCTGATGCGTCCCGAGCTAAATGAGCGAGCGAGAGCTCTGATCAAGTAGAGGTCGCACCCGAGCGGGCCTCAGCCTCGAGGCTGTGACTGATGTCGTGTGGGTCCACCGAGCCCGCAACAGACGAAGGCGAGCGAGCGATGGCGAGGGGCACAAGACAACAACAACTGCAGCGAGGCGAAAGGGAAGGGAAGGGGAGGGGAGGGGAAGGGAAAGGGGACGGAAGGGAAGGCAAGGGAAGGCAAGGGTCGCATCTGTGCTGAGCTCACTGAAGCGCGACGGGGAATAAGGAACGTGTCCACCCGCTCTTCTCCGCCAGTCAGCCGACTGGGTGACGAGGCCTGTGCTTGCTTGTCTACTACGCCACGTAGGCACTACGTTCTCCTGCTGCCAACCGCGGTTGGCCAGGGGATGGACGAGTTTCAACAGCTTTCTGGTGATGACAAGTCCTCCGGTGGAGACTCGCCTGACTGGGCCTGCTCGCTGCTGACTGGGCGCGTTCGATGCCAAGTAAGTGAGTACGGTTCGTACAGAGGGCTGACTTTTGCGAACGTCAGGGGCAAATGTCGGTTGAGAGAAGTCGCGATGGGGAGCTGCGATTTCACGAGGCCGAGGCTCGAGTTCGATGGCGTACGGCCTCGGGCGTTCGTCCTACAGGTTCGCGTTCAGCCTTTCAGGCGAGACTCGGAGTTTCGCGACATTCTGTCAGAGGGGTCTGCTTCTGCAACGCTGGCATGTTTGCATGGAATGTCGCACTTCGCTTCGCCTTTTCCAAATTCTTTCTTCCGAGGCTCGGAGGAGGGAGCGAGGGAAGCTAGGTGTGCAGCTTTTTTCATCTGCCTTTGCTTCGATGACCATCTCGTTGGTCGTTAGTCTGGAGACATGGGTACGCGATAAAGACCCATACTCCTCATATCTGTTGGTTCTTCACTTCCCACATGGAGACTGCAGTAAAGTGCAATGTTCGTGGCATGGACGACTCTAAGGAAGTTGATCGTCAATGACAAAAGTCTCCACTTGAGAGATGTCTTTGCCCAAAACGTCAAGTTGTAGGGCGATTCGATTTGGCAAACTTCTTTTGAAATTGAATTCAGACGGCTCGAGCCAAACTAACATGTTTTGAAAGATTATAAATCACTAGTTCACTGATCCCAACATTTCTATGTTGGGATCAGTGATACGTTTCAGTGATTTCTATTTCGATACGTTTCTTCTTTCTATCTTCAGAAGTTTTACTTCTCACAGCAGTATCAGTCTTTTGTTTAGGTCAGCTCTGCCAGTTCTTATTAGATTTACTTACTCATAATGGCTTGAGCCAAAGTAGCAAAATCTTTTTGGTTCACTTCTTGGACTTCGCGTCTCATATGTTATATATGATACAACTTCTTCACTTGAAAGAACCTTCTGATCCTCTCCATTCCTTTTACTGTTTTTATTAATCATGTGCACTGTACAGTTAGCTTTATTACTTGCTCATTTCTCCTAAGGTGTAAGATTCATACTTCACTATATTTAATTCTTATGTGCAAAGGGCAGGCATTGCACCCTAATGTTTGTATAATTTCTCCTATAACTCTGTATTTGACAATAGATATGGTAACCTTGGACGAAGTGGGCATTGGTCATTTAGAATCAGTAGTCTAGAACTTTGTACATTGAGACAGGAATGTGTCCTGCACCAGTTGTTCTCTCCACAATATATAAGACATGGTGGCTAAAGAACAACATCTGCTCACAAAAACTGTTCCGGTGTTCCAGAGCACCCTGTGCAGATTGGGGAAACTGGAGCAATTTGGATCAGTTTGCTCGATCTTTTATGGAACAGGTGCACCTTCGTAACACGATCTTCGCCCAGCTCTTATGCAGCCCTTCCCTCGCTCATGAGCTAAAGAAATTTATGTCAACCGGATGGCATGCTTTTCTAATCCATGAAAGGCCTCACAGTATCAAATTGTCGAGTCTCCCAGTCTGCTTGAATCTCTAGCCAGCTCCTACCCGGACAATAGACGACCACGAGCATATTCTCTGTAATATTCGAATGGATCATTTGGTCTTTGAAAAGTTGTGACGACTAATCACACTCTCGACTTTTAGAAGATATTTCACTGCCTGTAGTTTTATCGTCCATGTACAAGAAAGCGACACTTCCTGTTTTCTTTTATGTCCATGTTCCAGTATTCGGAGTCTTAACTCTCTTCCTCTTCAATTGATCCATTACACGTTCTCATGAGGTTGTGAAGAACTCCACTTGACCTTTCATCCCTTGTACCCGTACGACAATAAAGAAGGCATCAACTACAAGCAAAGAGTAAGGAAACATCCTTGAAGCAATTTTTCGAAGAGGGGTATAAAAGTCATAACCTAAACTAAATTCATTACCATACTTTGAATATCTTAGATATGGTATAAAAATTAGTTATATCATATCTAAGATATTCAAACTATCCAAGAAAAATTTTATACAAAGAAGTTATATTGTCATAAAATATGCAAATTAATGTCTTTTAATCACGGGAATCACAAAATTTTCACTATATTAATTGATATTTTTTAATAACTGAATCTCGTATTAAGATAAGTTCTCTCTCATTCTCGTTGTCATCGTTACCCTTGATTATATATAAAAATGTACCAATTTAGAATTATATATGTTTGGATATCTAAGAAGGTGAAATTTTTAGCTTATGTAATTTTAAGAGTATATATTATTATATGCTAATACCTTGATCACTGAAATTTTAATTTTTTAATGTAAATATAAAATTAAATATTTTACTAAAATTATTTGATGTGCAAAATCAACAATCAACATATATTTGATAAAAAATTGATCGATTGCAATCAAATATAGGTGTAAGCTGTTAAAAAATATTTTTTGACTTTCATTGACAAAATATGTATACAAAATTACTTTTATTCAAAGTCTCTACTGCAAATCATAACAATCATCAAATTTCATAATGTCATCATTGATATACATTTAATCCTTAATGCTTACACACTCACATTGTTAATAATTTAATGAATTGAAATAATAAATTTATCGTTGTACAAAAAATAACTTCTACAAGTCAAAAAATTAAAATTTATGATCAAAAATAATATAGACACATGGATTTTGGAGAAAAAAATAATGAAAACAACACTTTTTTGATGAATACAATGAATAGCATGATGTACTATAAAAAGCTTGTTTAAACTTAATGTATCCAAAAAAATTGTAATATTTTCAATAATTTTAAATGCAATAATTTGATTCAATTTTTGTAATCAATTTTATTAAAAAAAGTGAATGTTGTATTACGATGCTGAATAATATAATTTTTTTCTATGTATAATAAAGTTAAGTATAGATCATATAATCTTTCATCAACAACATTTTTTCTAGTATATATTAAATATACAATCATCTTTATTCACAAATTGAAAAAGTAATTGACATGTAATCCATGTTAAATTGGCTAATAATGATACAATTGATGTCTAATTATTGATGATGAATCTATGTAAAATATTTGCAAAAATGTATGACTTTGTGACAAAGTTATGTGATTGACTATATTATTTTGCTGTAATGATTATATCAAATATTCATGGATCAAATATTATTAAGTGTGATAAAATGCAAATGAAAGGATCAATAATCACATGAGATGAAAAAATTTGAGTAATTATTACCAAAAAATCAATAATATGTGATATATTTATTTGGAAAATTCAATGTCTATGTAATGAAATAAGAAATTTAAATCTAATTCAACATTTCAAAATCTTTTGCTATGTGTGAATGCCATGTGTAACTTTTATTTAAAACAAAATCATATGTTACTGAACACATTAGTTATCAAACAGATCGTTAAGATCGTATGTTACTCATAGTTATCAAACATACACGATCTTGTTTGATGATCAGGTAATTACATGTATGTTGTACTGTAGTGGAATTTATTCCCAAAGTATATATCATCTTTAGAAACAGAAACACATAGCATAATTAGTTTATAAAAAAGATAGAAGAATATTATATTGATCCATAACGGATAATTTTTTTAAAATAACTCGTCAACTATCCATAGTACCAGATTTGACAAAACACAAATTTCATTCTCTTATTTGATTATTTGTTTGATAACTTATGCTCATAGGAAATAGAATAACGTTAAACATATATTAGCATTGACGCTAGAAAAGATCCACCGGCCTATGCATGCTTTCTATTGACAATTGACAAAAGTTGTATAATTTATGAATAAAAAATTGATGAAATGTTCTTTGAGCTGACTTTCAAGTACTCAATCCATGTTTAATTACAGTATTTAATTAATATAGAATTTCATTCTATAATATTTCTGAAGATGTACTCGGAAAGACATTGTTCCAAAATTCTACTTGAAATAAAACTTAATGTGGATTTAGTCTCTAAACATGCTAAAATGCCCAATTATTTTGCTTGATAATATCAACGACTACTCCAAAGCGATACTAGAATTTGGAACAATGTTGCACGTCTAGAATAAATCATTCGTAGGAAGAACTAAAAACTCTAATACCTGTCTCCGAGGAGCGAAGTAGCTACCAGAACTTGACCAATGGACAACCTAATTTCTACTTTCAGACATAATGTAACTATCTAGAACAACTAAGACCAGAAGAGTGAAAATAAGTCTGAAAGCATATGAACAACGTCGTATGCTATCTCTATGAATAAAAATTATGCGACAAATTTGGATTTTCAGGGCTTAGAGAGACTATTTATCAAGAGATAATAACCAACATAGCAGAGACTCAACGAACTCAAACGAAATTAAGGTTCCCATTGATGGATGTAGAATGTTAATAGCTCGTTCTAATTTAGCATGTAGAAATATGAGGAGATAAGATTGGGGCAAGTTTGATGCCATGCCAGTTGACCTGATCTAACCCAAAGGTTATCTTCACCGTAGCAGTGGTAAGGTGGAGCAGTTGACTGACTTTGACATCTCCATCCAGTTTAATTACTAATCAAACACCACTTGCTTTGCAGCTGCTCAGCTTCTGCGTGCTGCTTAGATCAAACAGGTCACAAATAGCTCGCTAAGCCAAATGCGGTATGTCTCATGTTACGTGGAGTTGGACCCCGTCAGATTTGCATGGATAGATACAAAACTTATGAAACACCAATCTCATAAAAATTTCGTAAATCTTCCCAATTTGAAGAAGAATGACCACGCTCACGCTGTCGGTCGGTCCATGCAGAATCTCGCGTTTTGAGCTATGGACCCTCTTGTCCGAAAGTTTACTAAACTCGTCCTGCGACACTAAGACACCCAGCTGGAGCTAATTGCCTCCTGCAGAGATTCTGGCTTACAATAAGCTGGAATTGTGGCCTCTGCTATCGTCGATAGCCTCTCTCGTCAGTTGGCCAAGGCAAGGATGCCACCGAGATGATTAAGAAGATATTTCAGTCAGATGATGGCCCTACCTTATTCACCTATCGATTCTGAGCTTCAGGCTCAAAAGGATGGCAACCCAATAAGGCGATGACCAGCCACGAAGTCCAGCGTGGTGATTTTCAGGAACTGCTGCTGTGTGTGGCATGTGATGGAGACGACTCATATGGTTTAGGAAAAACCTGGCTGACACACTGCACAACTGGAAGCTCAGGCATTTTTTTCATTTTGTTCGATCCTGAAATTTTTTAGTCTTATTGCTTCTCTTTAATGTATAACCCGTGGGCCTGCCCTATCACGAGCAGTGCTGAAGTCGTCGATTTTTCAGTTCAAGGTTGGGTTTCGCTTGCCTTCTGCTTTTGCACAGAACACTAGTTCAACCCCGGCCCCACTGAACTGTGAATACGTTGTAGAGCAACGTCGTCCGCCCAACTTAGAACCGGCAGGGCTTCGTCGATTCCTTGATTCTTTGATTTCCAGGTTCTGTTCTTTGTCGTGGAGGTAGACATGGCGAAGTTACTTGAGAGCTTTCACAATTGGTGACCATTACCTTGGAGAGGGTTAGAAGATGTTTTGTCTCTCTTTGGATCACTGTGGATTTGAAATCTGCCCTTAATTTGTTGATTTTTTTTCTAATTTATGTCCTTAATCCTAGTGACAAGAACACAGCACACTTAGGGAACTTGCATTGAAGTTGATCTTGAAAGAAAGCCTCCATGTTCGCCAAACTCCTCCGAAGAAAGTCCCTGCAACTTGCAAATCTTGTCACCCTGCGGTTGATTACTTTCCATTGAACAGTATGTTGTGTCCAATATGGTGGTTTGTCATACTTCGTAACTCTAGCTTTTCGAATCGCATTTGGGTAGGTTTTATTCGCCACATGAAACCTCAGCCGTGCACAGTAGCCTCTCTGACATCGATACTGCTCTGATGACTCCATGGCTTGTCTTGTAACGAGACGAAGAAGGACACTAAGTCGGGCAATCGTGGTTTTCAAGCCACGCCTTGCGATCAATCAAATTTAACAGTGGGCACGACTAGTTCGACTCTTTCACACTAATTACGACTCTGTTTCAAGGGCATGCTGTTTCGTTAATCAAAGTCGAAATGCAAGTCGTATAGTAATCGCCGCAGCTAAAATGTCTGCACATCTCATACAATTCTTTGCAACACGAAGCACGTCAAAGAGGTACCGTAAACAGTGCCTGCTTCACACCATCGATGAGCACTTACAGCCCGAGGTCGACTATGAGGTTCATAACCGTCACAGTCGTTAGATTCTTCATGACTGGTCGTAGTCCACATGTTGGTCACATCAACATCGAAGCAGGTAAGAAGGTCTCGACGTAGCTAACTCAGTAAACTTGCGTGGGTCCCATGGCAAACCGGCACAAGTGTTGACTAGTCCGAAGAATGAAGGGCTATGCAGAAATGCTGGAGCATTATCAGGTATACCATCCGTGAATGATAGTACACATGGTTGGAGTGAAGACAGCTGCTGATGATTCACATAACTGTTTCATGTTCAGTGAAATGTGCTAGTCTGGAGGCCTTATACTATTCGATTCGTTAGCCTGTCTGGTTGGGTGGGGTGGATTAGGTTGGGCTCGAAGTTGTGCTTATTAAGGAGGTTGTTAGGCATTCTTCACAGTAATCGGGTAACTTCTGGCTAGCTCTGGCAGTGTGGGCAATCTTTCTATGTAGATCTAGGTCCGTCCCTTGTGAGAGTTTTTTCCCGAGAGGTTGCTTCTCCAGCTGAGATCGTGTACAGCGCTACTAGTAGTCGTTCTTGGAAGCACTGAACTTGGGCAGTGAAGGATTGTAAATAGATACGACCTCTGTTGCTCTGCCGAGAGGGTTTGCTCTCCCAATCTGAGGCCAAAGGCATCCTCCGTGGCGAAAGGTGGTCTTTCACGGATCCGAACTTCCGTGCGTATGGAGAGAGACCTTCGTGAATATGCTCCAGTCTTTACTGTTTTTCCCTTCAGCTTTGATGAGTTGCTCGTGCAAAGAGAACCGCTCGTGAGATTTTCTAGGTAGATAATTTTTGTTGTACCTTTAGTCGAGTTGTACATATTGTTTCCGGATAGATAGACGTAGGTCAAAACTTACCAGTTAGTAGCGTAGTTAGTTACAAGTTAGTACGTTCAACACGATTCAGGACGTTCTCTTCTTCGTTAAATCTCGAGTGTATAAATCCATCCTCTCATGAGTTCTCTGTACCATGGCCAGGAGTCCTTCAATGATGCCTATGAGTTGCCCATAAACCTTGTCTGTACTGATCGTCTGTCAGTAAGAGAACTACTGTCAGGCTCTACTGATCATCGGGTCAGAGCCCTATTCGTAATAAGTATTTACTGCTCTGCGGAGACATTTTTCCTATCTCCCCATGAAAAGCTCAGCAAACAAATGTCATGACTGTGTTTATGGTCTTTCCTATCACGAAACCGTAAGAATTATTTTGAACCCGAGTTCCCCCTAACGTCATACTTCCTATAGCTTAACCATGAGGTATCATTCATGAGTGGTCACCAGCCAAGCAGAAGATATTTGCCACAGGGTTCCTTCGTGTATGGATCCGTCTTCTTTCGAATGTAAGAACCAAAAATTGTGCGATTTCGCCAAAGTCTAAGGAATTGAGCAGCTCCCTTTTCTCGTGGACGGTGTAGAAAGTGTCAACGCTGACGATGCTGCTGTACTGCGCTGATGCAAAAAATCAGATTTTCAACTTTTGGTAAGTGGGCCATTTGATTGCTCAATCCCATAAACACGATCCCATCACAATGTACATAGATTGTGCCCGAGTATAGGAGCTCTCCGACGGGATTGTAACGCCCATGTTCAGAGCAGTCCTTACACATTTTCTATCGCCGACCACATTGTTGAAATTTGTCTTGCCTGCATAGTTATGTCCAGTTCTTTAATTTTATTGATTTGCAAGCTGTCGCACCCCTTGAATTGAATTAGATTATCAGCTTATCCCCACCATGGCTGGGTCCGTTCAAGAGCAAACAACATGAGCACTGGATGATTCCCATCGAGGGCTAGGCAAGACTCAATGTGGACTCGAGGAATTTGATTGTGTGCCCTTAGTTTGTCGTCAGACTAATGAATTTAGCGTCTGTCTGTAGGTTGGATTGCGGCCTACTTAGTGAGAATTCAGTATGACGTTGGGTGGACCAAGCAAACTGAGGATAAAGGAAAGGGTTCAAGCCATGGAGACGTTTCAGGAATAGAGTCTGGACACATGAATACCAATGCAGTGTTCAAGACCAGAATGGAACTATTCTTCTGCTTGCATAATGAAATGGACAGAGTCCAGGACATATGTGATATATTTTGTTTCTTCTTCCACTGGACTCGACTTGCAGATCTGTGGAGTCGATGCTATGGTTCATTCCGCCACGGACATGCAACGGTTCACGGAAGCTTCTTAATTATGCAAGATCAAAGAGCTGTTGGTGCTTTTCTAAAAGTAATCAGGACCCTTGAGGAAAAGGTGGACTGACTGCCTAGGCTTTCATAGAGAAAAAATGTAGACGAAATATACAACAAACAGAGCAGATTTAGATTTAGATTAAGAGCAGGCAAAAATTTAAAAATAATGAGGGTGATTTTTCTGTTGAGGCAGTGCATAGGCCACATTTTGTTACAACCTTCGACCTTTGAGCCCAGGTTTTCTACGGAGAATAAAGGTTTATCCATAAGCATGTGTATTATCCCAAGGGCTGGACTAAAGTCGTCTCTGTCGTCTCCATTCAGGTCGGGTAGATTCAAAGGAGTATTACATTCTCCATTATGGTATGCACGAGAGAATGCATGTCTTCACCTTTCTGCATCCAATCAGTTCACCTCTTGCTCCTTGTCCGACCAACCACAAATCATTCGGCATGTTTCCCAGTTTCCAAGTGTCCTAGAAAATCAAAGGCTCGTGTGGCTTCACTTCATCCCTCAGAGCTCTGGCGATGGCATTCCTCAATGTTGAACTTCATGTAAGGAGGAATCATTGAGCTCTTGCCGTTCAGGTATGGATCATACATGTGAATATGTTTTAGATGGAGAGAGAAATCAATGTATTTGCCTCTTGTTTCAAATTCTCAGACCAAGTTAGTGACAAGTTTTTATCCTACAGGACCAGACAGTGGTAGGGAGAGACATTTGGGACACCTGAAGGGGCCACAAACGGATCAAATGACCACTCCCTGGATCTTCTATCATGAACTGCAGTTATGAAACAAGTGAATTCACGGGTGATCGTATATCTGCTGCTCAGTTTTCAGTTTCATTCCGATGTTCGCAGCTAATTTGCTTGCATATCATAGATCGTGACGCCACCAACAGAGTAGGATTCACCATCTTCAGAATCAGCCAAGAGGATTGAAATTTGCTTATAATTTTGGTTGTTTTATAGGAATGGTGGGAGTGGAAGAATATCACAATCGGCATTGTACCTGAGCTCTCTTTTGTGTCGTTTTGCTGGCAGCATGTGTGATGCTACCGCTCACTAGCCCGGCAACGTTCTCTTCCCAGGTTTTGTTGCAGTGCTGTGCTTTGCTTTTGCGAACGATGCTGAATTGACTCCGATCATTATCTTCAGCTCACTAATCATGCATCACAAAGTCTGAAGAACGAGCGGCCGGATACGAAAATATAGCTTTCCAAGATTCTGATGCCTTGCGGAACTAGGAGTGAGTGCTCACAATTGCAAATTTCATAACTAGCGTTCAGAAAACGAAGCAGTAAAGCAGCAAAAACAACAGGTCTTCCGATTTTCTTCTGGCGTTTGTTCTGCATGTAACGAGTATGATTAGAACGTCATGACTATTCAGATTGCTCGTTATCCATAAAGGTCCCTATAAAGTTGTGGTTTATTAGATCTGCTCTTTTCCACTGGCCAGTCTCATTATATATAAATTTCTATTGTGTTTATATCTAGTTACTTCAAAGTTAAACATGTTTTTATCTATATATCATACTAATCTAATTACACATTAATTTTTTCATTACAAATGTTTGATATTTAAATCAATTTATACAAAAAATTAAAATATTATTAGCTGTTATCTATACTGTTATGTATCTATACAATTATTATATAAATTAACTTAGATGGATATTATTCATCAATACACAAAATATAACAACTAACAATAATTTACATAGTATTAAAAATATATCTCTAACTTTAAAAAAGATTTAGCTTGAAACTTTAATAACATAAGGAAGAATAACTAATGTTTGAAATATTGATGTATATATGTTTGAAATAAAGAAAAGTCATTGAAAAAAATATATTTTATTCTAGAAATTGCATATGTAACTACATATATATTTGTTTCATGATTATGGAATCTACATTTCACTAGTATACATATAAATTTATATAAAAATTTTCATCAAAGTATGACATTATTTATCTAATACTTTATACTATATACTAAGGAATAATTAACAAAATATACAAAAAATTTTTAAAAATTTCACATTACGTAATCACAGTATCACAGTAATTTATTATATATTTAAAAGATTTATGAACATTTATTCCTTCTCATCAATTTATAATAGAGAAGAAACTTATAGACAACACATATTCCAGTTTTATTTGTGAAGTGTCTAGTCATATCTTGGTTTATTTATTATCCCTCACACTACAAAACTAACTTCGCATAGTTTGCAAGTGCGGGATTTAACATTATTTACCAAGAGCAAGACCACACTGCCGTTGATGTCGCGGTTGAACTTCATATGTGTCAATACTTCTCAGTATTTTCTTATCTCTTTCTTTCCTTTGAATAATAACAGACCTTCCATCTTAAGTAATTTATATAATTTTTGCAGTGTAAAGAATAATTAGTATAAACTGAGGTATAACTAATAGTTTTTTTTTTCATATCATATATGCACATAAATGATAAATTTTAAATTTTTAAATCATAAAAATAAATTCATTAAAAAAAATCATTTAACATTGAACACTTTTGAAATGAAGTTTTATATTTTGAATCAAAGCTCACTTAGAGATATTAATATTTATTAATTTACAGTAAGTAATATCAAAATATGTTACTGACACTAGACTATAAATTTAATTCACACATTCAAGTTTGGAAAATTAAAATACTTTTACAAGTTCAAATTTGTATACATTGCTTGTTTGTGTATATAAAAAAATAAAAATACAGAAAAACATATTAATCTAGGCCTTGTAAAATTTAGAAATTTCCAAATTTATTCAATATAACTTATCTTGAATAGTCTTTTTGTCTCAATTTTGGATAAAATGGAAATAGCATATAGATATAATTGATATAGCATATAGATTTAATTCAATTACTTGTGTTGTTTAGTATGGAAGATACTTTCCAATGACAGGCTTATCAATGACCTGCCATGATTGTCTCTTTGCATTTTAGTTTGGAAAAGTCAGATTCCAAAAAAATAATGTTAGCAAATGTTACAGCTAGCTGTCCACAAAATCTACATAGCTAATCAAACCTACCATCCAAATCATTCCATGCAGCGTTGAAAATCGTGTCATGATCATCCATGCATATTTGAACTTCTACTTGTACTATTTGTAAGCATGGAGAAATTGTTTGTGATCTTTACTAATGATATCAACATAGTAGTCATTTCAAAATTGTTTAATGCAATTGTGATATGACAAGAAAACTGTACTATTTGAGTCTCTTAACATACTGTTTCATCGCATAAAATTTTCAAACAAATGTGTAGATATTCTTGAAAAAAATCTTCAAGATAAAAAAATCTGGATCCAAGATCAAGGATTTTATCGCATTAGTTGATTTTGTGGTAGATGTGTAAAATCTTGGTGAGAAGATATCACATGAAAATAATTCTTTTCATCTCTTTAGCTCGTTGTCGGCATCGTATCATATGTTATCACGTATCATGCTCAATTGTGATAGAATAATCATCATTTAGAACGAGATTGCAAGTGCTTATTTGATAGATGACCTTCAGCAAAAGATACTATTATAATCTGGTCCATACACTCTTTCTTGAATTGAAACGGAATGAATGTGATTTGAAGTCGGTCACTTTCAATAAATGACAAGGATAAAAAACATGTTAGATCCAAGGAAAATTGAAGTTCAAAAGTATAATACTCAGACAAGAGTGGTTACGTCAAGAAAAACTGCCAGATGAAGAATATCAAAGGCGCAGATCTCCTTCTGTTGGTGAATGTGATGGAGCATTTCGATCCCAAGAAGAATAAGTTGCTAGAGGATGGTCTATGATGCCAAAGATATGCACCATAATAATATATAAATTCTTGATAATGCTTGTTTTCATCTGTTTCTATGTTGTAATAAAGAGTTTTTTTTTGTACTTTTTCAAATTAGATGTTTCATTTCTTCTGAAAAATCATTAAACCTGTAAGATTGAGTATGTTGGATTTATGAAAATCCGTATGTTTGATGATGTCAAACTTACACTTATTCAAGTTAGATTTGTAACTGACATGAGAAAAAACATGACTTTTCTTGGTATGTTAGACTCACACTATCTAAAATTGAACTCTAAGAAAGCCTTGTTAGAAGTTAGATCGCGTGATAAGATTATTTTTTGAGGACATAAGCAAAACAATATGTAGCTGATAGAGTACAATACTATATGTGAGAAAGTTCAATTTACTAGATCTCGAGTTGAAATGTGTCATGTATGACATTCTAGACTATAACACATAAGGGACAAGTAGATGTCTATACTTGACAAAAAGTGGTTGATATTTGGTGTGGGTGAAGTTGACTTGGGATTTTGTAAACATTGTACCATGGACAAACAGCACAAGAAAATCTTTGGTGTTGGAACTCATAGTTTAAAAGAGTTATTTGAGTCTATATATATAATGATATGTGAAAAACTTTATTATTGTCTCACTCTTTGAAAAATTGTACTATGTATCAATATGTGATGATTATTTAAAATATATAAGGATTTATTTTTTCACATAAAAGTGTGATGTTTTAAAGTATTCACAATAAGTGATCCCAATTTGAAACTCAGATTAGACACAAGATGAGATATGACACAGAGATAATGGCGGGATATATACTTATGAGGATTTTCAGAGTTACTGCAAAGAGTAAAGGATTATTTATCATTTCACCATCATTTCATAACAAAATGTTGTTTTTAAAACGTTCAATTGAATAGTGTTGAAGATATTTTGATCCAATCTAATATCTATGTGAATTTTGGCTCAAAACTATAAACACTGTAGTTTATTTGGTGAAATGTTCTCTTTTTAGTGTAATCAATTTCTTGACATCGTTTAAAATTGAGAAACAAACAAACAATTGATTATAGTTGTTTGAGGATTTTTTATTGTATTGCTTATACTCTTATATCCAAACAAAATAAAACTAAGTTAGATACTGTAAATAAGAAAACTGTTTTCTTGGATTTGCTAGTGTTGTGAAGTGTTACATTCTATAAGATTTAGTAATATGTAAGTTTATTGTTAGAAGAATTGTTTCTTTAAATAAATCTAGATCATTAAAAGAGACAAGATTTCTAAGTCTCATTATATTAACGAGGTAAAATGTACACTCATAGATGTTAATGTGGGGGAGTTTCATCATTATGTGATTAATGATTTGACACAAGAAGTCATTAGAAATTTATTAGTCTGTCAACACCCGAAAGTAACTGCACAATACATTGTGGTGTATTCTCAACTTTTTAAATTATTTGAGCAAAGGTTTATGCAGTTTGAGTCAACTTTGCGCCTTGATCTATGTAGGTGGAGCAAGTTACTCAAGAACAAAAACTAGAATATCAAGATATCTTTGATGATTCTCACGTATCCACATTAAACAATAGAAATCAACACGAATTTTTTATTATGAGATCATTGAATCGGGCTAGTATAGCTTTTGTTAGATGTGATGTATGGACTGATTCATCCATTCTTGAAGATCCTGACATTCATACACAAGATGATGATGACACTATATTGATCTTAAAAAAAACTTAACTTGAACAAGTATTTAACTTAACCACAAATTTTGTCATTTGTTGCATGTTGAAGTCCAATGGATTTCATTGAACCCGCTGCAAAACGACCTCACAACACTCTATTCCAATTGAAACTTATGTCACAGTATGAACTATGCATCTCAAATTGTGATACTCACACCTTCAAAGTGGTTATTGTTTGATGTAAATTTTGTCTCTATTTTGGACATGAAGAACCTATTAAAAAGTCTTTGACATCTTGAATTTTTGAAGGTATTACTTTCAGAACTACACGAAACATCTTTGTATCAACTAGCAAGTTAGATGTGAAGAGTATCAAAAGTTGTCAACAGAGTATAACTATAAATATTTTGTGATTTTTATCAAACAAGCAAATAATAGTTCTCATTTTATGAAAAGCCAATCTGTCATGATAAATTTTGTGATCAAAATTTCAATTATTGACATAATTATAGAAGAAATGCTTTGAAATGAAAGCAATTTGGATGATCAATCTCGGACTAATGCATTGTCATTACTTAAATCAACTGAAGAAGACAAATATTGCATCCGAATTAGCTAGAAGAAGTTGTTCAAGTTGGTAACTCATTTTTTTAGAGGAATTTTTTTTATGGCTTTTGATGTTGTTCAAGATGCGAAAAATGTATGTGATTTTTCCAAACTTGGATTTTGACTTCCTATGTTAGAACGGCATGCATCATGTTCATTAAGAACATAGCATAGATCTTGTACTCACAAGATGCATCAAACATCAGAGAAGTTCCACATGGACCTTCTCTGATGTTTGATGCATCTTGTGACCTGCAAGGAGTAGCTCGGATTGATGTTCAGATTTGATTTTATCAAAAATGATCTCTTGAAAATCTTCACCTTATTACAATTACTTTTTTTGTAGACATACAAAATTGGACATGTTTGAGATTTTTTCAAAGTTTTTTGATGTAGTATGTACATCATGAAAGTATGTTGGAATTGAATGTTCAATTGATGGTGCTACCAATATGACCAAACATTTATCTAGGAGTTGTCACGTGTATTCATGAGGTGTTTGACCATATTTCATTTGTGTCTGATGTTTGCTACATCAGATTAATATTGTGATGCAAAAGTTTTACAAAAAAGCTGATTGTGGATTCTATAAAATCCATACCTTATTGAATTTTGTTCTACGACGTGAAAAAATTTTGATTGATGAAATGCAAGTCATTAGTTCAAATTTATCTCATACTCGTTGTATCTTGATGTCTCGCATATCTTGTTTTTTGTCAAAAAAATGAGCTAGAATCATGACTTATTTTGATCAAACTGATGTGTCTCAACTAGTTCACAAGATACCTAAATTGTTTTGGTGGTTTTTGTTTCTAATCGTAAGCAAGAATTTAGGCCATGTAAGCAAATATGTCGAAGGTTTATAAGTACAAAGAACCAAGTTGCAACAAACAAAAGTCAATTCTCCAATTTTTGCTAGCTAATTTACAACATTTTGGATGTATAGAGAGAGTTGGAATTGAGTTAAACTTGTTCCGAGCAGACAACATCGTTACATTGAAGAGATGGCATGTCAATCATGCCAATTTGATTGAATTAATTGAATAATAAGGTCTTTTTGCTAGTCAATCATTGGCAGAATTGTATCTAGAATCAAGTCTTGAAGTTTTGCATGCAAATGACAATCTTTTTTTGGAAGCAATTTGCAATCTTAGGAAGATCAAAGCCACACATGATGAGTTTAACCATGCAAATTCCAACATTCTGCCTCCTTGCCTACCTCTTAAACTTGCAGCTTTGAAAATGCAAGAGTTTGTTCAGTTAGTTCTAATATATCAAGATCGTTTAAAAGTTTCTTGGCAACAAAACAACATTGATCAAATTGTGGAAGATCACAAACAATTTTTTATCTGTGTGCACCGCAAACATCGGTTTTGCTATGCATTGAATTGTTTGACAGACTAGTCTAATGTTAGTGAAGCTTGGATTATTCCACGCATCATGTGTAGATTTTTCACCTCATGAAATTTTGGGAGTATTAGCGTGTCCAAAGCCTAATATTGTCACCTTAAAAAGTTATTTTTCAGTGTTGAAATGGGAAAAAGATCTTCACATATAAAAAATAACACCCATATCTCCTTAAAGTGTATTACATTGCCGTCAAATTCGGATATTACTGAAAAAACATGACAGGTTTTGAATAAACTCCGTATATTTTGTATTTTTTAATGAAAATCTTTATTTTGTTGAAATAGGGAATATACAACAAAAAATTTATATAAAAAGATCTAATCATGGTTTATTGTTTGATGGTCTACAAGACAATGTCAAATCTTTGTTAGACTATGTTGATGCTGATTATGGACACGATACGCACAACAGATTAGCATATCGACATTAGATATCATTTTATAACACATGTAATATTTGATAAAGGTATTGAGCTAGTCAAGACCGATGATAAACTTAATCCAACTGATGCTTTGACCAAAGTTATTACTTTGGAGAGTTTCATACAACATTGTGTTTTGCATGAGTATTACAGGTTGAGTTTACTCGCATTATTTCAAGACCTCTTTATATTATATCACTATCATGTTTTGGCTTATAACTAGTTCTAGTTAACTCTAGTTATAAAGCGATGTTTTTTATTAGATTTCATTATACAACTTTTTGCAGAATAATGATAAAGATTACAAAATTTATTGTTCCCTCAACATAAATTTAGGTGAGGAAAGCTAAAAAGTAAGTTGATTAGAATTTTTGGATCAACCCAATTAGTTAGCTCTATATAATTACTTTTCGGTTACACATGGGGTATATAAACCCCACATCACTTTTTACAAATCCCCTCATATGTTAGTGTCTTGCTTTTCCATGCATGATTGTGTACTTGTGATTTCTATTGTCATTTTTGATTCTCTACTTTCATTATCTGATTTGATTCTCAATAATTGAATGTGACAATTATCTCATTTTTATTTTATAATCAATCTCACTTTCAATTACATCAATATTCACATAAGTTGTAAGTAAGTTAATTACAAAATGTGATGTAGTATTGTTGATGATTATTCAATTCAAATATGCATGGTTCGTTTTGTGATGAAAGTTATAGACATTTCAGTGATGAATTTTATTGATCTTTATTCAAGATTTCATGGAAAATACTGTACCTAAAGTGACTTTTTTAATTGTAAAATTTTAATTTTAAAATCATCTTGAATAATCAAGGACCTATATGTGATTGCTAATAATTCAAGGCTCCCCATACAAATTTTAAGTGTTGAACTATACTTCAAATAACGACAAGAAAAACGTGCGTCTGACTTGTCGGGTGCATCGGGATTGCAATCTGCCCCGTTTCTTGAGTCACAGTTCGACACGGCATTCGATGGAAACATATACAAAACCTGTCTCGAGGATGGAGCAGAGGAGCTTACGGCTTACTGTGTGACGAGATGGATGAGAACTGCAAATCGTCGGTCGAGATGACCTCGTTCATCGCTCTATAAAGATCGAGACGAGTATTTCAATCTCGTTCATCGACTAGACGCGGTGTGAAGGTTACTTCTTCGACCCAGCAATTCAGCTCATCATGAAGGCTTAAGCCAATGGGGTCATCTCGAAATGACTGCTGGGATTTATCATCCTTTTCCGTGAACCTCGAGGTAGAGAGCGCAGGAATTATGTCGTCTCAGAGACTCAGGTTCCGCTTTTGGGATTCATTCGCCCGCCCGTGATCTTGAGGAAATTTTGGTGTCTTTTGCAGGGAACGACCAGTGGACGAAGTGCAACCTCGATGTTTGCGGACCAGATCAGTATGAGGAGAGTGAGTGCAAACTTCACGGAGGGCATGCAGCAGTTTGCCATACTCTGTGCCGCCGAAGCTCTGAATCGATACCACGTGGAAGGGGATGTGGTGTCCTACATCGAGGAGGCCTACAACGACGCCTATCACGGGTCGGGGTGGCGATGCATGGTGGGTCACAGCTTGGGATCCCTTGTGACCCATGCAGACTTGGCCTACTTCATGTCTTTCTACATTAATTCTATTCCTGTGGTCTTGTACAGAGCCTAAATGGAACAAACCAATTGCAAACTTGCAAGTACATATCCATTGTGCATTTCTCAAACGAGTGAGATTCCTCGTGCACATGTGTTGGAAATCGGATCATGATACATACTTGGCCAAATTTAGGTGTATAATGCACCACACATATGGGATGATTCCCCCTTAAAAAAATACTGAGAAAATTTGGTTTTTGTTTGTAGACATTTATACCTTAAACATATCTATTGAGATCTTAATTTTTTCCTACAGGATGTTCATGGATCCAGCCACTAGTTTCTGTCTATTCTCTAAAAATTTCACATCTATTTCTTATCCAATTTGCCCTCTTTACCTCTAGCACGAAGGCATTCAATTCTTCATTCACAATTAGTCAGTTAATACGCGGTTGGATTTGTGAGACAACACGCCTCGAATATTTCACAAGATGAGATCTCTTGGTTTGTGGCGATCTAAAGTGACGTACATTGGGGGCGATGGCCACGTCACGGTTATAGTTGCTGGCATCTGAGATGTCAAAATACTTGTTTTGTCTTGGAATCATAAACCTCAAAAAATTTGCCTTAATATTATCACTCCACTCATGTTGTCTTACTTAGTAAGAGCGGTTATATATATATATATATATATATATATAGAAAACAGGAAGTTGACATTATTGCAACAGCTACTTATGCAGAACTCACAATAGTTGTAGTTTTAGATCATATGTTGGATTACGATTACTTCCTAGCCATTATGAAAAATTGTTCTTCATGTCATACTAACAGAGTAAAATGTTTTCTTATCTCAAGAACAGACTTCAGCAAAAGCAGGACTTAATATCGACAGAAGCCTACATATTTAGTTATAGAAAAGCCAAGTAAGTAAGTTACACAAATATTTACTTATATTTAGTTATGTATAATTTTTTTGATAAATTTTGATTTCTCCAATTGTTCTTACTGTTCTCAGTAACTAGTGCAAATAATCTATGTGTACGTCACCACCTTAGAAGTTTACTTTATTTCTCATGGTGTTCTTTCTACATGCATATGGTTGTAATCTGGTATGTAGTCACAACTTAAGTTTCATACCTTCAGGTGTTCTACTCTGCAATATAGCCCCCGTTTCCTCACGCTGTGTTATGACCACATGAGATTGATTGGCAGACCCTCTCTTAGCCTTGCTCCCAATAGTTGTATTATTCTGGGTATTCCTCGTGGAAGTAGAAACCTAGCGCCTTAAGCTCCGACTGAAACTTGAGATATCTGCTCTTAGGCAAGTGAATTCTAGGAGACCAACGAGGGGTCAACGGGAGAGACTGAGACAATTTTTCTTACGCTGATTCTAGCCTGTGTACACCTCTTCCCATCGATGGCTCTACTCCCGCTTCTCTGACATGGGAATCATTGCACTTCACATTTTTATATGTCTCCCAGTTCGCTGGTTGTAAATTTTTTTTAACAATTATTGATCTTTCAATCTTTCCATGTGACTGTGGCTGACTTGTTTCCATTGCTCTGTATTTGAGTTTCTGCTTTCAATCTCCACTCGAATACATCTGCCGCTTTTTACTGTGAACCCAAAAACACTTCCTCATTGTCTTCTCAGTGTGCAGGGTGATTAACCTTCCCCTGTATTGGTACGACTTTTGAGTTCAATAGATGCTTAAATCTTGCTTTATGTACCTAACTCGTCAACCATACATACCAAAATTTGCACCCAACTCACACCAGCTTGTGAGAGTGTGCAACAGATCGATCAAAACTCCCATAGGTGGTTCCTATGAGAACTGTCTTCGACTGGAACTATTCGTTGCGGTTTTTTTGTGTGGATACGTTTTACTTTATCGTAACTTCTTGTGCTTTTCTCGTGGTATGCTTCATAGCTAATACGATTGAAATCCATGGAGATTGTTCAACCTATGGGCAAAGTACTTTTGAATACCTTAAACATGAATGAGCAAACAAAAACTGATTGCATTCTTCCGATATTCGGAACTGTCACATTGTCCTTCGCTATTCCAGAAAATCTGGTTGAGCTTATCTATCGATCATAACCCACAGAATTGAAAACGAGGTAGTGTTGTGCATGAACTCACAATATCTTTTATTTAATGCTCATACATTCATTCGCTTGGTCAACCAAAGTTAATTGTAGCTTTGGCCTATTAGGTTGTGGCTCAACTACTTCGATGTGAACAACTAACTTATCTAATACTTTGAAGCGGTATTTGCCATCACGAGATTCTGTGGTTTGACTCTGTTCGTTAACGATCCAATCACTTTCATCTTTCTTGTCTTTTTTCCCCGTAAGATACACGGGACCTTCAATACCAAACCTGCATAACGCAGAATCCCGGTCATTTTTGCGTTAGGGTACAGGGATCGGACTACATGAAACATATTAGATAAAGCCAAGCGTTTGGTTTTTTGTTTTTAATTTTGCATACAAAATTTAAAAAAACAAAAACCAAACGATTCTATAGCCAAAGGAAATTCGACAGACAGTTCGCAAGTCGATTTGATAGTAGGATGTACTTACTTGGGTACAAAAACAATCAAACCATTTGATTTGATTCTCACTATTCTCGCTTCTGTGTCGGTTGGCCTGAAAGAAGCGTACAGTAGAATGAATTTCTAACATCGGTTCATAACCTTTTTTAAAACAAGGCACTAGACTGTGAAACGTGGAGTTTGCGACTGTCTGAATCAACAAGAAGATAACGTACATGAGTAATAGGATCTGCAAATAATTGCAAACAAGGTCTAACCTGTTTTTGAAGAAAATGAGTGTATGAAGCTCTACTGAGGCCCGACTAGCCATCTGCGCGTTTCGATGACGCAAGTTCAGGTCTGCACAAATCAAAACATTGTCAATGAAAATACTTGTCCCACATGTGGTGAATCTGATGTCTAGGCTTATTTTAGTCCACGAATATTTGCTTTCAACTGATTTTAAAGGATTTCACATGAATGACAAAGAACGGCTTCACTCCGATATTAAGGATAATCAGGGATTTCCTGGTCAACTTACTGTCTGCAACACTTGTCAACATCGTCTTCTCCCTCAAAGCTCCAGGTACCTTACTGAGACCAAGCGCAGCAGCTAACAGTCTGTGCACTATGACATCTGCAATGAAATGAATGACATCAGTACGTTCCACGCGGGGATCTAGAATAAGCATTTCGCTATAAACCAAATAGTAGCATTTTCAGTTTACGTGAGCACTTGAAGACTGCACTCCATGCAGTAATAATAATCGCCCATAAAACTTTTTTTGTTAGTTTACAAAATTCAACCATAGGAATGATAATGGGGCGAGAAAAGTTCCCGAGGCATATATATCACTGGATTCCATTTAATCCAGAGCCAGGAGCAATCCAGGTAACTGGGTTTGACTCATCGTATTTTATTTCACAGGCAAAATGCGTATCACTTGGTTAGTTAGCTAAGAAAATGTCACAGGAGAATAACACAGATGATAGAGTACGAAGAAAAACCAACCAGCATATCTTCGGATAGGAGAAGTGAAGTGCGTATATATGGGCGACGCAAGTCCGTAATGGTGAAACTCCGGAGGTGTACAATCTCCGCTGCTGAAGTACAGGGCCTGTGAAACAAGAAAAGCTTTCATAAAGTGGCCCTAAACATTGTGAAGACTATTGTACAGTAATTTCCTGCACAAAGTACTCGCAGAACTAGGTTAATAATGGAGAAACAACATAAATTTGAAGACGCTTCGTACAAAACCTGAGTCATGCAACGCGTGGCGAGGATGCGGATAAGCTTGTTAAAATATGGATCTCCGCCCTGAATTCAACAGTAACCACGAGGAGAGAGAATCAATTCGTGGAAGTGGCGAACTGGAACCTTTGCCTCGCCGTGCATAGCATTTTAAATTTGAAGACACTAATGTCAAAATTCTGACTTTACAAGAGACTGGAAGATGTGATATGTAGTGAAAGCAGAGATAATTGAACTGTGAGCTTTTGTGAACAATCAACCACAGCTATGAATGGCAAGCCCTCTCACATTAAAACCAACTAGACCTGAATACTATGACCGATAGAGCTAGATCGTAGCAGCTTCCAGAAGCAAATAACCATGTGCTTACCACGGCACGATCAAGCGAATCTGCTAAAGCTTTGGAAGTTGAGATATCTAAATCGACACCAACTGCAGCTGCAGTTAGGAGTAGCGGTTCCAGCATCTTCGGTGATGGCACAGGATGTCGCCTGAAGCAAGCAGATAAGGAAGTTACTGACGTGCAGACCGAGAAGACCTCTAAACAAGTGCCATGATAAGGCTCTTTACAAACAGAAATAGGGTATCAGTGCCTCAAAACCGACGCATCTGTACACTACAAGAAGGGGAAGCCATAGTCCCCAGATCGATACACTATGTAAGGAGACGTGAGCTCATTTCTTGTCTCCACAGATAGACATAGTCGAGGTGCGTCCAATTAGATGTAAGAATAATGAAAAGAATCTTATATGACTCTGCGCACTTATCTCTTACCTTAACATCGAAAACTGGGAAAAATGTTCAACGATTTTTTCGGCAACTGATACGTTCGCTGCGAGCATAAACTCTTCAATCATCTGATTCGCTTCTCGAATTTGATACATCCCTGGATGTAGAAGAACAAAAATGATAGGACGTCTCTTAAGTGTCAATAAATGCATGCATGAAAAAGGAAGCTCAAGGCTGAGACATATAATGGATAATTTTCGCTACTAAACCATGACAACAATGCTGAGTGCTACACAAAATATTTTCATCTGCTTAGGATGTGCACTGCATGAAAATTACGAAAGATAATGACTTTCAAGATGACTTCGCAAATTTGCATCCGAAGTATAACATCCAAAGTGTAACAATCTATGAGACAGAGAAGAGATTTATTAGCTCACCAACATCCAGGGGGTCGTGTGTCTCTGAGTCAATCTCAAACTTCACTTCCGGAGATGCTAAAGTAAGGGCACCCCTATCTATACGTCTTTGTCTCATAATCTGCAGTGTTGTCAAATTCACCAGTGTTGTCAAATTTATAATTGTTTTGACATTGTTAAAGCTAAAAGAGTGTCAAAAAAAAGGTTAGACATCCCTAGAAAGACTAAATAACTGTAAGACTAAACACAGACATCATAGAGTAACAGCTAAATAAGAAGATAAGGTCAAAGTTCACCAAAGTTGGTTATGAATAACGTCGAATGAAGCACTACCTTAGCGAGCCTATTCATGTTTCGAAGATCGACTGTAAGGGGATCGGACAACCGACTGTACAATACATGAAGGTAGGTCAGAATACTGTAAAAAAAACCTTATTAAACATAGTCAAAGAATTCAAAAACCAAGAGCATGGATCTTAATCTCCAAACAACGACCAAGATCTCCAGATAATCTATACTTCTTGAGTAAACGTTAAGTCCGAACTACACGAATCCCAAGAGGGCTGTTTACTTAAAACACACCTGTCATCCATGCGCGCTTGGGCTTCGGCATATGACATGGCAGCACAGGATTTGATTATACTCTTTGTAAATTGTGCTGATATAATTTCAGCTTCTGGTGTCATTTCCTGAGAAAAAAAATTCGAATCACCTAGATCACGTTAGAAGCGAGCAGTCAAGAACCGTATGATAATAATAGATAAGTTTGATACGCAAAAAAACAGCACTTCCCTCAAATTATCCCTTTTCGACAGTTTGACTGAAAGAGCAGGCTAGACTGAAAGCCATGAAAACTAATTTGCTAGTGACTCCGTTACGAGCTAACTACTTCTGCGTCTATCAAGTTGTTGCCCAAAGACGACCAGAAAGGACTTGGTAGACGTAGAAACTCCTGTTAGAACGTGGTAATATTGCTGAATTATCTGACCTACCCAAATCACTGAGAAAGAAAGCCTCTCAACATCTGCTCGGAGTGAACATATATCTGGAAAAACAAGGCCAAAAAAGTGAACCAACGAATCGTCAAATACATCACCTTTAGTTTAAAAAATACTCACAAACCACACGAGCAACTTACAAATAGTACTTGCCATATTTACTACTAAGGCCTTCCATTTCCATCAACTGAAAGAATCAATTGAAAATATTCGGATATTTGCCCGTAAAAATCTGAAGACAAGAAACACCTGACTCCTCGCTCAGCGATGCTAATCACAGCAGACTGAGAAAGAACAAAAAAGATGGAATGAAGAGCAAGGCAAGAGAAGTAGAACTTTTCAAAAGTTTGAATGATAATGCTTATTGTGGGGACGGTGTTGACTGTTTCGTCCCTAAGAGGTCCGTTCCAACCTCCCAGGTTTTGACCATGAAAACCTTCACTGGCTCATCTAACTAAGTCTGTGGGAGCCCAGGAGTTCATTTAATTTAGGGGTTAAGATTTTGGTACGTTTTCTTTCAAACAGCCAAGCGAGATCTTGGCTTGACGTCACTGTCATTTATGGCTTAAAAAAAAGGAAAGGTAATTCGCAAAGCAAGGATATCAATTCCTGATGTAATACATGGAGAGCTTCACAAGCAATTACCTTCTGTTAGAGGCTTTGGAAGCATGTCAATCCGTCGTTCCACCAAATACACAGACGTACCACGCTGACATGCTTCATGATCCAAGGCAGTGTCTGGAAGGACAAAGTTTGTAACATCCGCGATATCTAAAGAGAAACTTCGTCAAGAAACAAACAAAGTAAAAACATTTTTTGAAACAATCTTCCTTTCAAGTTCATACAACAGTTGTCGAAGGCATTCAAGGATACGGACTCCAACTTCGTAATTTCCATCCGGACGAAGTGTACAATGAAGGGCGTCATCAATGTCCTTGCAACCTGCATATCTCAAGTATACGTCAATGTCAACGCAAAGATATTACTACCAAGACTTATCAGATAATCGTTTGAAGAGTAAGTATGCAACAGGTCGACAATGTACTAACAATCATCCTTCACGCCATGCGATATTTACTGTACCAGGTGGGTCGACACTGAAAACACGGACTTGTCGCAGGTCGCGCCTGTTAGGGTTTTGTAGCTCTTCAGCAGGTAGCGACCAGGGCAGAGGAGGGAGGCAGTCTAGAACCTGCTGTGAAAAAGGCTTGTTGTTGATATCGTTCTCGAACAGGATTACCTGCATATCGAGCACGTTTGGTCAGTTGAAATAACTTCCATGCTATCGGGACGATTCAACAAAAGGGAATCATGGATCCATTGACAAAGAATATCAAGTCCAATTTCGTGCGTGAGTAGGATGGTCCTACTTCGCTCTCAGTCGCTCGGTCGCCGATGTCTCCAATAGTACTGACATAATGTCCGCTGGGGTATCGCATGGTTCGCTCCCAAGAATCAACTGAAACAATTATTCTCTTGTTCGACAAGTTTTCCAATTGCCTTGTTTGAATTCGAATTTTCGGAAGTCGTCGATCGGCAGACACAAACAAGGCATTCACCTTTCCCCCAGCTGAGCTGGTATTCTCCACCGGCTCCAGTGATCCACAGTACCTGCAAAAGGAAGAAGCTACTGATAGTTAAACATGAAAAGTATAGGAATAAATGATACCATACGAGATATTAACCAGAACTGCGCCCACACCACCTGTCAACTAAATTTGCAAGATATTCGAGCCTGAAAAGGTATAACGTCCATCTTATGATCAAGAAGGAATCGTTACAGTTTCTATGCTCATGGAATAGATCACTCACTGGCGCCAATTACGCTTGATAATACCAATCACACGACCACGGGGTCGAGCTGCAGGACCTGTCTCAATAAGCTCTGGCAACTGCTCGGCACTACCTGGCACTAAGCCGACCGGCTCTTCGCTCTCATCCTCGTCAACTGAAACGACAAGACGGCATAGGTTTGAAACAGTAACAGAATGATGCTATAAAGTCCCATATTCTCTTCCCCTGAGAAATCTACAATCTACATTTATTACATTTTTCGTACTTTTGGACATTTTCTGCCGAAAAATACACAAGCTGACATTTGTTCATGCAAATACTTCAACCAATGCAAGAGAAAAGAAAGTAGAATTCCAGAAAGCAAAACGATTTCAGTTCGTGATTGGAATATAAAGACAATAGTTTGAGTACGGACCGTCTTCTACGATTTTTTCGAGAGAATTTTCCTGCCACTGCTCTTGTGGTAAAAGCTCCACAGCGACCACATCCCCATCAAATCCACGATTCATGTCGATTCGACCATGAATCAGTATCTCCTGTCCAAGGCTTTCAGTACTCACAGTCGCTTCGAAACCATTGTATCTGTTCACTCGAAGCTTTCCCTGATGATAAATTCCCTTGTGCAGCCCTGAAGTTATCTCAGACATCAGTTTGTGCTGTTGATAACAGGAAGGTATTCAATTAGTAACCTTTCTCGAACGCTAGATAATTGACAGTAAACGCGTATGGATCAAAATCATGTGTTTCAGTTCTCTTTGTCGACCCAAGCCAATGATAAACATCGCAGCATCATTTGGTACTTGAAAACAAGAACCGCCTCCTCTTGTAATGCTGATATTCACTTCACTTGCGGGTCCCTGTGCGTACCTCAGGATATATCACTTTTCTTTTGGATGGTCGATTGTCGTCGGCGTCCGCTGTCGTCTGTGCATCCTCAGTTCCAGCCCCAACGAGCAAGTCAAGTAGTTCTGCTTGACCTAACTTCCGAACGAAGTCTTCAACTGGAAACGAGCAAAGCAAACACAAAATCAAAGGTATGATCACTTTGAACAAACGACTCATATTTTTTACAGATTCAAGGAAATCATTCAAGACAAAAAATCGGGGACAAAACATGAAACTTATAATTACAGCCGCATCTTCTTACCGGTTTGAGCATCAATCCCCTCCTCCAGCGCTTTCCTCTTGTTCTCAGCATCGTTCGTAACGAGGACAACTTTAGAAGCGGGTCCCAAGTGCTCGTGGTACCATTTGCTTGCCACTCTGATTGCTGCCAGAGGTTCCACATGGTGTTGAAGATAAATCACTAGTCTTATAGAGAAAACCCAGCACATGCCAACATTTCACAATTTCAACATGTAACGCAGGACAAATCGCCTATCTCTTTATTGTGGGTATCACTGAAAGAGTATCAAACCTCGGTCATTGCGATCATTTGGACTTTCCCCCGCCAGACCTTTGATATAAGTATCCCTACGAAGCGTACATAAGCATCGTGAATAAAAACGTTAAGCCTAAAACAAGCACATAGAAAACTCTTACTTTCAGAGATCGGATATAGTATTCAGAGAAGATTCAAAGATCGTAAGTTGAGAACACAAACACAAAAGAGACATGAATATCAAAAAGGTAGATCTCTAATGTCACCTGACAATAAGCGGTCAGTTCAGTGTGAAGGCTTTTAGCTTTACGAGAACCGTCTACAGCTAGCTAAGGAGTCTGGCTTTTAACTGCGTACCAGTTACAACTAATCCTTACATTTCCAAACAAGAGGAACATGCCCGGAAAAAAAACACCAACAAAAGTTCCCAGCAATTTTCACCTGTGATTTTCATTTGAGAACACGAAGAAATTTCGAGCGGGATTGCTGCAGATAGTGCGCAAGCGATTATACACACTAAGATCCTTATTCTTCACTTCTTCAAGAACCACTGACAGCACAACCACATTGCTGATGGCTGAGTTCTCAAGAAGGTCTATCTGTCATCATCAAACAGGTGAAGCTGTTGTAAAGAGTGATACACACTTTCATCACTAGAGCCAGTCCATCCCTGAGGTCTTCGTTTTAATTGCTAGCATAGCGCTTAACGACCGTGAAGTGGTGCATTGCACGTTTATAAGAAACTCCAACATGACCACCATCTTCATAAACTGTAGCAAGCTTGTACCAATTTCTTCCTGATTGTAATGGGTAGAAGAAACAGCACTGACCTAAGCAGCAACTTTCAAACTTGAATGCTAAGGGATTCGGCTCATAAGGTGATACCTGACGGAGAACGACATTCGTATCAAAGACGATAATCGGCGCTGGAGAAGCGCTGAGACAGGCTTTGCTATTGTCACAAGCTGTGCAGGTAATGGTGCCACAAGCTATGTCGTCCCGCAAATAATGTTCTCGTACCACCTTCAGAGGACCCCCACAATTTTGTATCAGTAGCAACTTCACCGAGTAAACACCGCAACCCTAATCCAGCGGATCGAGCGACAAATTCGAACGAAAATCTTACATTCACTTACCTTGAGAACTCGGCCATGACGAGTTTTCTTCACGTAAGCCTTGCTTTGCAACATTTTGGCAGCTGGACTGAAGAAAATTCAACGGTTCTGCTCTGCAATCACTTCTCCAACTGCAGCATCTCTTCTGCGCTCCCAATTCTCAGCCCTGCGGCAGAATTGCAATCGAGCTCCCGCCGATATACAAAATTCGCAACGCTGAAGAATCGTCGCATCAACTGCGTACGAATTGGACGTTTCGTGACTGCTCGTGGAGTCTGAGAGCGAAAGCGTCTTCCAACATCTGTCAACTCCCGTCGGGAGATCCTGTCTCCAGATTCCGACAGCACCTTGTTACTCTTGAACGACCAGTCGCCCGGATTACAGTCAGGCGGGAGCTTGCCACCCAGTCAACTTCCCGGGATGACCGGCGGGAAACCCAACAACCGGTAAACAGGGGCGAGAGAGGCCGGTATGAAAACCCTACGGCGTCGCGTGGCCAGTTTGGACGCTACCGGTAGCGCGAATTCGCAACTCCATGATCGTCAGAACGTTCACGAGACGAAGGCAACCGCCGGACGTGCTCACATTCTCCGAATCCACTAACTGCGTCCATTGCTCGTTTGTCAACTCAGTTAGACACGGGTGCTCCCTCTGAACTATGATAAGGGCTCCTGATGACCTCAGTTACTTGGTTGGTTAATTAAACACGACGAATTGGTACGACAATCAAAGGCCATGCTGAATGATGGTCTCTCAATGAGACTGAAATGCCTCAACCGTGTCCACTGTTGGATGCGTCTGGCAACAGGAGGTGAATATGTTTGTTGTAATTTCTCCTCGGCTTTACCCTCAGCGCATTTTCATTGCAATGGATCAGAACAATCTATTGGAGTTATTATTATGAAGTTCGTGTGCATCTGTTAGATTCCTCATCTTTTTAAGCATGGCCGAGACACGGTCAGGAAAATTCTCCCGAAGAGAAATATTCTCTCACTATATTCGAATTAGAACAGAAATCCAACAGTTCCGAAACTGTAATATAGCTCGACGACACATATGCAAGTACTTATGGCATTTGGATGTTGAAGGATGAACGCTGTTTTGGTTTATTTGTGCCAGCCGTCATTCGAGACTGGGATTCGTACTTCACTGTCAAAGTTCACGGGTGATGTTCTCATTGTTCTTGCCATTTTGATGCAACTTCAGACCAGCAGATGGAAGATTGGTGTAGCTGCAAATTAAATTTTGGGAGTAATTCTGTTTTATAAGATGTCTGTTTGGTCCTTTGTCGACGAAATCTGCAAGGTCTTTCGTTGCTCGTTTCAAGTGAGTTTGGATTCACCGCCCATTACCATCGAATTGGTAAATGGTAAAAAGATCAAGCCCGTGGGACCCAAAGGGTCAAAAGGCTAAAAAAACACAATACAAACAATTCAACTCCAAACTAGGAGAGAACCAAAAGAACCCCCTAGCTAGTGCCCAAAGCACTAGCTAGGGGGTTGCCAATTGCCTGCCAAGCTCGATACAAATCACTTTTCACTCCCCATAACAGAGACTTGGATGGACTACAACAGACCCGGAGTGTTCTCGAATAGAAGTTGGAGAATACTTTCATCCATCTCTCCAAACACGGTACTTCCAATTGTGTTGGATGTGAACAATAGTTGGTCGTTGATCTCATCGTCAGACGGAAATTTGTTGCTCAGAATTATTCTCAAATCCATCCATGAACTCTCTCAGTAAGTTCTTGGTGAGTAATTGACAAGTTAGTACAATTTCTATAATTACAAAGATGAGAGTCTGGACTACACTACACCTGTCTGGGCGCGAATTCTCGACTGTCAATTGGTTCTTGGGCCCTTTTGTGGGCGTTCCGTTGGATCCTAGATCCCACTCATTGATTACTCTCGTTGCGAACTGGCCAATTGCATTCTTGGGAACCACGAGTTTGTGCCAGCAGAGTGCAGCTGATAAAATATGTTCGAGGATGAAGAAATACCCGATCGGGGTCGGGATCAGCAGAAAAACCACCCGATTGATAACTCACAAACCTCGAGCATCGATCCGAGCCACTGAACGGCCAGTAGAGCCCTGTGCATTGAGATATTATTTTAGTCTCGAAGGAGACATAATGTTCATCCAAAAGTGAAACCAGACCCGTTGTCTGCAGGGCTTTGGAATATGTGAAGGAAACAAGGTTTTTAGCCGAGCCAGGGATAAGTATTAGAGCAGATTCAGCAGCGATGCAAACTCCCAATCCATCTCTGCAGCAATGCGTGCATTCACAATTACTAATTTGAGATCAATCGTGAAGATGTTGCTGAATATAAGAAATAATGGCAGCTTCGTACTTTTCGATAGCAACTGTTCCGATCAGTGTTCTGTTCAGTGGTTCGCAACAGCAGTTTGTTCGTCGGAGATATGATGAGCATTACTCTTCGAGCTTTCATGGTGCTGATTTGAGAAATTGTTCATAACAAGGCGAGATTACTTACTGGATTTTCCCACTCCCTATTGAATTGAGGTGTTAAGCTATACCACTGCCAGATTTTGCGATGCTGAAGCTATAAGAGATTAAATATAACAATCAGTTGGCTTGTATAGGAACAAGATAAAATTTTAAAACGAACTTGGACTGAGAAGAAAGTGGGAATTTGAGAGTGAACTTGTTTGATGTAATTAGATTCTTCATAGGCTGTGGCGTCTTCGCCACAGCCTATGAAGCCTATGGTCGGCTCGAGGTTGTACTCCTAAGCATAGACGAAGGAGATGACTCCTCGCGGAATCACTGCCTGTGAGTCTCTGGGCAGCCGTGTTGAAACTCTGATTATGAAATATTCAGTTCAAAATCGTGAAATTTGACTCAGTAAGAAATATTTAAACGCGGTGATCATGAATCTGAATGTGAGGAAGAGGTCAGAGGCTTACTTGCAAGACGGCAAGTCGGAACGTCCTTGTATCGACATGGCATACGAAAGCAGAACGGGCCATTATTAGTGGTCCAATGAAAAATCTGACGATCATGGAATAGCTCATTCTTTCATTCCACGGGTTATCAGACGGCCAGAGCCATACCTGGAAACACAGCGTGCAAAAATTTAACGCATCAAACTAATCCACAATCCTGCACATCTGAAGACCTTATGGAGGATTTGACCGCAGTAGCAGTAGTAGAGAAAAAACCGGGATCTGCTTGTTTCTGCCGGCTTTTTCTCCGTCGTTACAGGATTCATCCCTGGTTTTAGCTCCAGTCTTGATCTAACCTTGAGTAGGTGCTGAGGGAATTTCCCTGCTTGGAATGTACATTTCTGTACCTTTATCTTGTACTTGGTATCACAGGCAAAACTCAAAAGGTCATGTCTACAAAGAATATGAAGCAACGACAAAAAGTCTGAGTTAGAACTAAAATTAGAATTTCCAAGAATTTAGGGACGTATTTGGAAGGAAGGCAACGCTGCCTAGAGACCACCATTGACCAAAGTCTCTGCCATTTCAATGGAAGAAGGCATTTTCCAATGTATCCTAAAGCATTGACAGATATGGAGGGGGAAAAAGTATCGAAGTTTTAGGCTACAAACCAAAGATTCCATATAATTATCTGGTAAAGTACAGTTTGCCCGGTTCATTAAGTTCTTGTGTGGCTACATGATCAATCTCAGCTGGGCTGTTTTGAGAGACACTATACTCATAGAGATAAAGTGGCGATGTGCAAGACCGAACACCTGCAGCTCAAAAGCTAGTATTTTTTATTCAAAGAGAGAAGGTAGTGTGAGGTATATTAATCTCAAAAGAGGTGTTTCTGCTGCTGATAAGAATGGCTGATTCTCTATATAATACCCAAACAAGCATACACTCACACACGGAGCATGAGAGAACCTTGCGCTTTTTGATCGTGTACGTCGGAGCCCAACTCCTCTACCTTCTCGACGTCGCCATTCCTGCAGCATCTTTTCTTCGTTGTCAATTTCAATCCTTCCACTTGGCTCCACCGAGCGAAGGTGTGAAGAATCTCCTGCTGAGGATAGGGCGGACTGATCACGTTATGCTATATAGTGCGTCTATATAGCTACGGATGGAGGAGTGGAGTATTCAGACACAGTGCCACGTTGAGTGACGAGCGTTGGATCAGATCCATGACAAAAGGAATAGAAGCAGTAGAGGGGACATAAGCTCAACGCCTGCCCATCAGGAGTGTGATACGGACTGGTCTTTCGCATCAGACATCATCCTCTTGGTGTTAACCCGTGCAAGGCGAATCAGAATCGCACACTGTGCCCTCACACTTCATGTTGATCAGAAGGTCCCGAATCAACAAGGCGCCAGGGTCACATTGCATCAAACCGAGCTTTGCAAGAAGATAATGATCTCTATGTTGGTCTCCGTAGATTCTATTCCAGTTAGATCTTTCTCATAAACGCGAATCACCAAATCTTCACCGATCAGCACAGTGTTTGGAAGATTGTAGAACACAATGAGATCATCAATCGATCCTCAGCGGAAAATCTCCATGATCAGGACCGCAGCCTTATGTAAAAAAAATTAGCTGCTACAAAGCGGGTGTGATGAGAAGAAAATTTTATTTATGAATTTGCATTATATTCATATTCCGGCTCCGGTGTGAACATCATGACCGAGTAGACAGCGAACTCCTTGGGGTTCCAGACCTTTGAGCCTACAACCCGAGTGCTGCGGCTGGCCGATCAAACGCGCAGAATGCCGCTAGGAATGTTGAGCAATGTGAGAACCAACATTGGAGGAGTGGACTTTCAACTGTCCTACATAATATTGCAGCCTCTAATGAAGAAAGGTTATGATGTGCTGCATATGGCAGACCATGGCTATACGATGCCAAAGCAAGGTGTGACTGGAGGAGGAAGAGATTGCAGTTCCGGAACCCTACGGACCCTCCGACTGTCATTACCGTACCATGGACCAAGGTATCACACGAGGGCGAAACACCTTCGACCACCTCCGGTTACACGACTGGAGGGGAGACCAGCTCGTCATGCACTTCAGAGACAGAAATGTCGGATGAGTTTGTGGGTTACGTCACTTGCTGCTCCATTGAGGAGGAAGGGGACGATGTGCATCCGGATGACGAATAGCAACTAACAGCCGGACTGGGCAGAAGCGAGATCAGTCACACAGAGGGGATTGTCGACCCAAGTGACTGCTGCGAACTGCAGCTCAGTCCAGACAAAGGCTTGAAGGTGTCAAGCCAGGTACAAGGAGAAGAGTTGAACAGGGTGTTCAACTCTTCTCAGGTACAGGCGTTTCTTCGCCAGTATGAGGATGTCTTCGCATGGAAGATTGAAGACATGAAAGGCATACCTGCAAGGTATGGAGAGCACAGGATCGACTTGTTGGACGAGGCAGTTCCGGTTCGCCAACGCCAATACAGGCTCAACCCAAAATACTCATTATTGGTGAAGGACGAAATCGATAAGTACCTGAGCGCAGGGATCATCTACCCGGTACTCAGTAGCGAGTGGGTGTCGCTTATTGTAATTGTGCCCAAGAAACTGACGGGTAAGATCCGGGTGTGCCAGGACTTCCGGAAGCTAAACGCCGCAACAAGGAAGGACCATCACCCTCTCCCTTTTACGGACTCTATTTGGATCATGTCGCAGGGCATGAATGCTACAGTTTCCTAGACGGATTCTCCGGCTACAACCAGGTGTTCATCAGAGAACAGGACAAGGACAAAACAACCTTCACGACCGACTGGGGAACCTACGCTTATCACAAGATGCCTTTCGGGTTGTGCA